TCCGATTTCCCAACACGCCGCCGATCAGCGGCAAGATCGGCGCACGGAGATCCGCCCATCGATTTCTAAACACTATTTTATTATCCAGCTTCCTCAGCGGATCATTGGATCTGACAATTTCGCGATTCGCCGATTATGCTCGAAGGCACCCGAGTCGCCCAAGCGCTGAAATTCACTTTCTAGGTCGTAAAATCGAACCCATCAATGGCGTTTTCAGCCGAAGCGAATTGTCCCGACGTTCTTCTGAATTTTTCCTTCCGATTCAATTTTTTTTTCGTCAACTTCTAATCGTAAATCCTTTTGACATTCCGTTTGATATTCGCGAATCTTGCGACACACAACGCGATGATTTAAGCTTGACATTGCATGCGGTGACGCAAAAGATAAATATTAAATCGGACATTTTATAATATGGATATATCACTTTTTTCTTGTAACTATGCGATTTGTTGATTTTACATTAGCGATAAATGTTATATTATTAAAAAAAATTTATTGTACGTCAGCTTATTACGAATTTTTTTTACCATTGCAATTTTTTATATTTACCGTTATATGTATATTTATTGGTATTTATTGGTATTTGAAAAAATTTATTCATGACATTTATTCTATGATTGAATCGTCCGCGTACAATTTCCTCGGATGATACTTTGTGTTGATCTCGAAATCAGATTTCTGTAACTTCGAGCTGAACCCGTCGCGCGAATGGAATGCGTCGTGAAAGGTGGAAAAGTGTAGGGACAATCGAAAGGATTGCAACGGCCTTAATTACAGTGCCGGCACTTTTTTCCGTGCTATCCTTTCTTCTTTACAAATTAGTCACGCATTATACCATCGTAATTTGTAGCGCGGCTTAATGTAATTTAAGAACAATGTCGTTTTTTCGTAGGATTTTCTTAACATTTGCGAATAATATTGGTCAGCTGATGTAATTCATATTTTTATCCGATATTTATAAAAAACTTTGTATTATAACGATTCAAACTTAGATGATGAGAGATGGCAGTTAAATTCATTTATTAAAGTTCTCGGTAAGTAAATAGGAAGATTGCGACAGCCTTCAAGCATAAATAAATTATGTCTCATATATGTCATTCTGTTGATAGTTCTTGTGAAGAGAGTAGAATCGATAAAATGCTCCTTATAATTAATATTGAGCGTGTATGTGAGAAATATAAAAGAGAAGATACAAATACTGGGATATATTTGAAGTAAAACAAAAATCTATGAAAGATGTTAATGTATAAATTTGTAATATCAAGTACAATTTTTATCTTATTGAAAAAACAAAAATTTAACACGTATAATAATTCATTACACATTTCATATTACAGAATGTATATTTTAATAAAATTGAATGTAGTAATACACAATTAACAAAATAAAACATCAATTTTTTATGGATCAAAACATGAAAGATACGTTCATATCTTCTCTTATAAAGTGAAAGTCCACATTAGATATTTTCTGCATTTTTCTTTCATTTTCATAAATCGATCTATAAATTACGGTCATATTCCTATGACTTTTCTCTATGACTTTTTGGCTCACTCAAGCACGCGTTAAAGTCTAAGATTCTAGTATTGTACGATATTTAGTGTAAGTTAATTGTGTATCTAACTTTATTATTAAGGCTTTTTATATCGACCCGATTCGATCTATTCTTCAGAATCAAAGGACGATACATCTTAGTATATTAGGCACATGTTTCTTCAAGGCACCATGTTTTAATTTTCAGCTTTTTTCATAGCGAATTGAATCTACGTATTAATCTACGTATATTAATTCTTCAACTGTAATTTGTTTCAAAATCCGTAATTATTAAAATCTAGAATAAAAAACTGATTCGACTGTTGCTCGCCATCTTGAGCAAAGGTTTCATCTTTAGGATTTATCTTTATGAATATAGATCACTTTTTTTTCTTCACAGATCCCGTCGGTTTAGCTTTGCGTTTCGACTTATAGGAATTTTTATGAAGAATGGATTCTCTCGTAATGTAGTTACAAACTAATCTAGGATCACCGTAAATAAAATAGTTCCTCGCAGCGATATTGTTGTGGAATTATTTAGAAGTTTAATTTTTTTCAAGCTTTTCTTAATCGATTTCGACTGCTAAAATATCCGATTTTCTTTTGTTGATTCCACTATGCTCTGACGAACTGACGAAAATCTTTCTTAACTGGATTACCATGCTGATGGTCGCGCCCTAGGATTCAGGTGTTGTTGCCGGGAGAGAGTGGCGGCGAATTGACTTCCCTTTGTTCTTCCTGGACGCTCTCCGGCCTGCTGGCCGTACTGCTCGACCTTGAACTGAGATTGTCCCGGTCACTGAAATACGACGAGTCGCCTCGTTTTTCCTCCAGCTGTAGCTGCTGTTTATCATTTCTAAAGTCATCGGTTGAGTGACCCAGCAGACTAGGGAAATATGGTATACCCTGTCTTTGCGAGGTGATCTTTCCCATAAAGCTGCGGATCTCCTCGAAGTAGGAATCGTCGGCCCGTGGCAATTGACCGTGATACCTCGATCTGACCTCATCCAGTATCGTCGGCCCATCCGCGTCATGCTTCTTTAGATGACGATCCAGATTGGTTTGTTGGCCGAAGCATCTCTCGCAGAGCGGACACTTGAATGGTTTCTCCTTGTTATGGATATTTCTGACGTGACGCTGAAGGTTACTGGAGATGCTGAAGCTTCTTTCGCAGTACTTGCATTTGTACGGCTGCTCGCCGGTGTGCGTTCTCAGGTGTCTCGTCAGGTTCGCCGATCTAGGAAAGACCTTGCCGCAGAATTTGCAGGAATATCTGTCCTTGGGCTTGAGACCGGCTTGCACGCTGATCGAATAAGGTGGCAAACTTGAGCTTTGTTGTTGCGGCTGTTGCTGTTGCTGCTGTTGCTGCTGTTGCGAGGGATGATTCTGTTGATGCTGGGATTGTTGACCGATGACCGGACTGACGGCTCTCGCGGTCGGTTGCGACGAAGACGAAGAGGATGTGGATGATGAAGTCGAGGAGAATCTGTTAGGCGGCAAAGGTACCATTGTGGGGAGCGCTCTAACTTGGATCTTTGGCAGATCGGGCACCGGCGAGCTGTGATGATGTGACCTGTACATCGCCTCCAGTACCAGCGGATGCATCGCGTGATGTTGAGGGAAGAGCACCGTGTGATAAGGTAAACCGCCACCCAGACTGTTCTGATTCAAAACTTCGATCTCATTCTGGTTCTCATCCCTGAGCCGCTCCTTCTTATGATCGACACGGAGATCGAGCGGCTCGCAGTCGAGCTCATCCTGGTGATGAGGCTGGGGCGGTCTGGCCGCGGGACTCATGTGCGGCTGTTGCTGTTGCTGATTCGTCGGGCTTGACAGACCGCGACCGTGACCGTGACTGAGATCGTATGGCAGCTCCTCAACGTCCGGTACACGGACGCTCAGGGGATAAATGCTGGCTTGCTTTGGGCTTATATGGCCCGGCATCTTTCTCGGACTCGAATCCTTCTCCCGCATGGCTGGAGGATACTTCGGATCGTGCAGCAACGTCGGGGGCAGGGTGATGCTACCGAAGTATCCGCTCATCACACTGCCTCTATCACTCGGCCTTGCTCCTGCTCTCCGTTTGGGGTAATCTGAAACATGGAATATATTACATGCTTAATTATTTTGAAAAAATTATATCTTTTTTCAAATTAAAAAAATATTTTTTGTTTAAATGGGAAAGTAATTTTATAAAATATAATATAATTAGAAATTATAAAACTTATATGTATTTAATATATTTTTGGTAAACAAAGTGAAGCAAAAATCAGATATAATGGAAGATTTGATTTCGTACTGTTCGACCTTCAAATGGTTCGATATTAGTATTTGTTTCTCAAATTAGTATTTGTTTCTCAAATCAGTATTTGTATAATAAAACAACAACTTCTGATGTGTTAATAGATGCTTAAAGGATTTGAAGTAAAATCATGTTGTTTTACTAGCAAGTAAACCGCAGACAGATTCGAAAAGATAATTATTTTTCGCGTTGTGTATCCAAGTTACATGTGTACCAGAGTCATACTGTGATTAATTAATAAAAAAATCTTAGCAAGGATAAGTTCTTTTCTTTTATTTCGACCTATATTTTATATAAATATATAAAATATTATCTGATAAAATACGAATATAGGTATCAATTTCATAAGGAATAGTAAAAGTTTGAAGTTGGTAAGACAATAATAAAAATAATAAAATATGTTATTGAGCAAAGTAGACATGCAGCATAGACCAATTTTAAGGTCATATCCGATTACGACATTCAAAACGTCAATCAAAAATAATTGAATATACTAATCTATAGCATCTTTAGATAGACATAACTGATTATTGAAGATACATATCGCGTAACATCGACCAGTTGACGAAGCAAGTCTCACCGTTTGCGCTTCATAAATCAAAAACCCCCATCGTGCCGGACTTTCTTTCTAGAATCAGATTAGCAAGCTAAGAAGAATAGAGAAGCGTTGTAAGGTCGCTAGAAAACGACGCTATTTGGAAACATTAGTGAAAGGATCTCCTTCTCTCTTTCTCTCTCTCTCTCTCTCTCTCTCTCTCACTCACTCACTCACTCACTCACTCTATCTCTCTCCTTTCTCGATCGACATAATTGTGAATCGTTGCCAATCGTAGCGCGAAAGAGGCAGAGAGAGATAGGGAGAGAAAGAGAGAGTGAAAAAAGATAGAAAGGCAAAGAGAGGGAATGCAACGAGATTCGATAAATCAAGGCATCAATCGTGTCATGATAAATGTGTCTTCGGCCTAAGGCTATGGTGAAGATTTTAGAAGCCGAAGAAATCGATCTCCTGGGCAAATCGACCTGCACGCATTTTTACTATTTGACGTCAGACGTCGGGGATAGAAAAAAATGTGTAGATGAAGTAGGAACACCTGCCAGATACGTAAGATGTGTCTATCAAATTTTTACAATCTCATATTATGGATCATTCAGTCGAGCCTTTCTCTCTCTCTCTCTCTCTCTCTCTCTCTCTCTCTCTCTCTCATTTTATGCCTTGTTTCTAAACGCTGTACTGTTTCACTCTGGCACGTGCTTCGGACTCCATAGCGCCCGCTAATTGACAGAATTTTATTAATGGATCGTGATCATACGCGCAATTAATTTTGCTTGGATTTTTTCCGTTTCGCTCGTCAGCGAATGGATACCGTAAGTTCTTCCGCGATGTAATAAAGTATAACGATATCTGTAACAATCCGAAAGGGATATCGTGTTTGTATAACTTGTCGATTTAATATACACAGGTTATCGATTAGTTCATGTCTTAGAGAACAAGAGATAAGAGACATGAGACATGAGATAAATACATAAAAAAGAAATAATACAATAAATGTACGTGGATAAGATAAACAAGAAATACAGAAGTTTCGAATGTATAATAAGTTGTATATTAATGTTACGATGTACTACATTTATATATTGCTAGAATATAGATTAAATTTAAAACGTAAACAAGATGGAAATAATTCGACGTGTAATTTCATAATTCACGCAACGAGTACTTATATTTTTTTCTTTCTGTTATGATTACTTGCTAATTACAATAATTATCGACGTACTTCCTGTCGTCCGTGGAGTATTTTTAGTTTATAAAGAAAAAAAAAAAGTTTTTTTGTTTATAATATTCTGCAGAGAGATCGCTTCGTGATAAGTCGATTCGTCGATTGAAAGTGACGCAGCTATGCCGGGATCACCGCTTTCCGCACGTTCTTGCGAGCATTGATGTCTCTATCCGCGCGTGGCAAGAAGGCAAGTATATTTTATCTTCAATCGCCACGTGCTACCGAGCTAAACGTAGAAACAAGAAAGGTTCTATTATATTACATATCGCAATTATATTTCACGTGACTATGTATAGTTATTAATTTTTTCGACAGTAAATTAATAAATAAATATAAAATATAAAGAGTGAAGCACCCAATATAAATTCTAATAATTAATGCAATGGAAATGTTATGAAGTCTAGTAAAATAAAACAAATCCAAATAAACAAATCCAAATGAATTATCAATATAATTAATACAAAAATTAGAAATATAACTGTTACGATATTATATATCTAAATACACACACACATATATACATATATATATATATTATCTTCTTATATATTTAAAATATATAAATAATAGGGTTATATAAGAATTAGAAAATCAACATGTATTACTATAAATAGACCTATTTTATTTAGCAATTATTTATGAATTATTCTGTAAAAACTAAAAATTAAAATCTTTCAAAATAAAAGAAGTACATAAAGAAGTAACTATATTATTACAAGAAAAAAGAAAAAAAGAGAACGAATGGAAAGAAAAGAGAAAGAGAGAGTGTTTTATAATGAGATAATTGTTAATTGCGTTTACTTATGAGCTCTTAATATGCAAATATGATATGGAAAATCTCTTATATCGCAGATATAAGCAATTAATGCAATGATTTAATGGCTTCCATCGAGCCGTAAATACGTCTGTATCTCGAAGATCGCGATCGTTCAGTGATCGTGTACGTTGCGCTCGTCGCGCTCGAACTGATCCAGTTACAAACCAGAAACTCTAATCTGCTCTTCGGTTGTCCACTTCGGCGAAAGAGAAATCTGCTCGTTGTGCAGTCAGTATGGCCGGGAGGGTGAGACGGAAAAAGAGCGGCGACATGAGGCGTAAAAGGCGCGGACGAGCGCAAAAATCTCGCTCGTCTGACGATAACAGTGAAAAGCGTTAATTATAAGTTAATTAAGAAGAATTCCTTGCGTCTTGGGTTCGAAGTCGAAAGTAAACGCGTAAGATGTGCAACACGATGCCCGATCGCGACGATCGATTTTTCTACGATGTCGTCGCCGCCTAGCTTTTCGCGCGCGGAAAGTGATAGTAATGGAGCGTGTGCGTTGTCCGGCGAGAGATGCGGTCGATTAAGTCCGATTTACATGTACTTTCCCTTGTTTCCTGTAATAATACTCCGCAAGGAGAAACTTTCGCGCGACTTGAGCCAGACGCATCCTCGGGCGACGCCCTGTCGAATTTGAGAAGATAATATAACCTGGCGAGATGCTTGTAACCTGGGATCGAGTTGCTTGATTTAAACTTTTTGACAATACGATTTAGCAAACGAAGGAGTGGAGTCGAGATTGCTTTCAGGTTTTCAGATGCATTGCTATAATTCTCTTCAATCGCTAATAATGTTCTACAAGTTGCGCTCAGTAGAAGAAACAATTTTACAACTCGAATGTAAAATTTTTTAATATGATTGGTCTGATCTTAGTTTCTCATTGAATTTAAATATATAAACCAATCATTAAAAAATTATGCAATAGTTACAAAACTGCTTTTTTTGCTGAGTACGTCATTATTTCGAGAATTCAGTATTGGTGAAATTAGCACGATATTGTATTAATATAAAAAAACTATTATTAAAAGTATGTAGCCTGAACTCTGTCTAAAAATAATTTTAGAACGTCGAAGTTAGTACATTTTTTTCATTTTTAACTTTTGTGACATAAAAAATGCGAAACTTTTTTTACACATAATTGTAGAACCATGAAAAGTGTTACTGGAACTGTAAAGTTAGTTTCTTTATATTAACAGAATGTCGTGCTAACTTCACGGATACTTTAACGTCAGTACCTGCGAAGTTAACACGATATTGTATTTGTATTATTAATATAAAAAAGATATTTACAGTAGCACTTTTCATAGTCCTACAGTTTTACATAAAAATAAAAAAAAGTTTCGCATTTTTTGCGGAAATAAATAACGTGCTAACTTCATGAATTCAAAGTTTGTTAATTATTTATAAAAAAATATTCTATTTTACAGTTATTTGAGAGATGAAAGATTTCAAAAATCAAATTTGATTTTTGCTGAAAAATAATGCGCAAATGTCTGAAATAATTCAGAAATAGAATATTGACAGATATATTTCCATGATTCAGCGATCGATTTTGATTAAATTCCTTTATACTCCTCGATCGATTTTGATTAAATTCCTTTTAACAAAAATCTCAGATTTTTTCTCTCTGCGTCGAACGGAGTTTCTCCGAGCGGCCGAGAGTGAGTAATGTCCACGGGAAATGGTAGCCGGTTACGCGGAACGGGAGGAGAAATAAGAGCAAAAGAAAGAGGAGTGCGGTCGCGGCGAGGACTGATGTCTGTTACGTGAATCAACCAGGACTGACGTTCACGAGATCTCCCGAGATGTTGGTAGTCGCGATCCAGTTTTCGGTTTCTAGAAAGTCGGGATGAGCCCGGGCGTGGTTTGTATCTCTTTCGCGCTCAGTCCGCTCACCCTGTCCTGCTTTTTCTCTCACTACGTCGTCCTTGCTGGTATGATTTCTCTGCCGACATTCACCTACGTGTGCGATAAGTGCTCTTCCAGGGCCGTATGTATCTCGGTATTGCGCGAATTTCTATCGAATACGTCTCGATACGAATGTAAACTTATATCACATGCAATACGATAGAGTTCTTTCTTAGAATAATTTTATGAGAAGAGATTCAGATATAAATCATTTGAAATAAATTATATATAAATGCCAAATTTTAATGATTCTATAAATATAAAAATCTCTTATTTACTAATTAT